TGACCATCCAATTTATTTAATTCATTTATTTTAATTATCTTCCATTTACAATTGAACAATACTGCTCCATTCAAATTAACTCCACTAATCTCCACGTTATCAAATTCAGATCCACTCAAATTGCATCTGACTAAATTAGCTCCTATTAAAGAAGTATTTTTGATCCTGATATTTTCAAAGCATTAGCTTGAAAGATCAACCTTCATACTTACTAATAAATTTAGTCCATTTGATCCACTTTAAATAAATTTTGAATCGAAAGCTGTGAGGTGAACTAAAAATTTAAAAAAATCAATAATCCCTTTATTTTCTGCTATCTTGTATATTAAAGCCTATCTTTCCTCTTGGTAAGTTTCCTGGGAATAGTCATTTTTACTAAAATGATGATCCTAAATATTTCTCAAATTATTCGTGATTTTCTTCCCGAAATCAAATATTTTATCTTACTTATTAATCTTTGATTGGTAAAACTTTAAATTGTCTGTCTTTGAAAGAAATTCAAGGAGATCTGAAATATTCTCTTTTCTCATTATTTCAATAATCATATTGAAAATTGATCCATCAATATCCTGTATGCCGGCTAAAATTTCATAAAGATCTTCTTTCTTTTAATAAGCTTGGACTTCGTTTGAATAAGGATTAATCCTAGTATAAGGTTTTAACTCTTACTTAATTAATGATAATTTTTTTTTCATTCCTTCATTCTACTTTTCAATAAAAGTCATAACTTCTTAGTACCACCAACTCTTTGCCTTATCCAACTCGATCAAGTAAGAATTCTGCTAAGCAGTCCAATCATTTAATGTTTTTCCTTCTACAATTTATACTAATTTTTCTAAATCAGAATAGGAGGATTCCGATAGATTGTGGTTTTCTTTCAAAAGATCAAAGTAAGATTTATTTTCCTGTTCGATCAAATCATAAATTAATTTTATTGATTCTGTGAACTCCTCCCAAATTTTTTTCATCATTCCTTCAGTTTGTGATAGTACTTATTTAAAATTCATTCGCTATTTGGTTAATTCAGATGTCTGATCAAGTATTGATTCTGATAATTTCTTGATAACCATTTCTCGAAATATTTTAATTGGAATTGTATATTTAAAATCCACTTTATGCTAGTATTGGCATTCAGCGCACAGTTTCCTTTAACATGAACATTTGTGAGGAGCTGTACATATCAATGATACTTAATTTTGAATATGATAAGTGCAATTCATTATCTTTATTGATAAAAAAATTATTGAATTTCTATTACAGTTCTCAACTCTAAACAATAAAAATTGCAAAATTATAAATATTGATAAAGATTGTAATTAAGCTTAAAATTAATTATTTCTTTATGTGTTCTTTTAGAATATATAAATTAATCATTTAGGTTTCAAGTGATAGTTATGGGTTTGGTTAAGATTGGTTTTGGTTCTCTTAATAATTGCCATTGTATTACTTATGTTTTACTAGAGTAATGTTCCTTTTAAAAACTGTTCATTCTTTTTTCTCCTCTAGTTCCTCTCAACAACTGCTTATATTGATGTATGAACTTCAAATGGCAAATTAAAAAATTCCAAATCTTTATTGGAATATACAATTATTTGAATATTCTAAGAACGATTTTGCATTCACTCTTCTACATCAACTGAAATTTAATCAGCTCTCTTAGGCATCTTGAGGTAACCTTCTTTTGTTCACAAATTAAATTACCTTTCACAAGAATTGCATCCATTTTAATTGTAAGAAAATATAATCAAATTTAAATGATGTTGAAAATCTTCCTTTATGCTTTTTTTTCATTAATAATAATAATAATGGTGATAAATCAAGTCAACTGGTGTTTGTAATGATAAAAGCGTGAGGAAGGAACGTCCGGAGTAAAAATAAGAGATAAAGTGCTCGAACCTTAAGTTCAAAGCTTCAGATACAAAATTTTTTATCTCTTTTTAGATAATTCTGGAAGATTATAGGAAATTCATTACTATTTTTATCATGATGGAGTATTACATATTTATGGGAGTCCAAGAAAACTCTCCAAATCTTTTGGAGTCCTGTGGCAGCCACCTAATAGATGAAACCATTACGGCTCCTCAGGACCTTGCATGCTAAGTTAACTAGATCTATCGTAAATTTTAAGGAACCAGTACTTAGGAACCTTTATAACCTATTCTTACTCAATCAATCACCTACCTATCCTTCAGGTGGAAAGTCCCTCATAGAGGTCAATTACCCAGACAATGTGAAAAAAAGGAAAATTGGGCTATTCTCATCCCATAGGGAACCTGGGAATGCAGGAGATGGATTTTATCTCACTGAAAATTATCAATGGCTGCAAGAAATTTTATTAATATAATTTTTTTCCTAGTTTCAATATTAAATATTAATATATTAAATGACTCCTTCTTTAATTGATTCATCGAGAGGATTTTGATTCCATTTGAAGAAGGTTATCCAGATATGTTACGCAATTATTAAGTAAACGAAACCTGAACTTAAATTCTTAGTTGTAATTTGGTCATTTACAAGGTGTTAATATATTCCCAATATAATAACTTTTCTTTATATCATTAAAATGTATTAGATGAATTTAATTTCTTTCTTTAGTTTAGCAAAAATATGGAAAATAGAAAAAATTAAACAAAATAATTATGGTTCTTTCTAGATTAAAAATGACAATATTCATATTTCTAATTAACAAATTATTTCAATTTAAGGCAAAAGACTTTACTTTTGAGTTCATTTATGAAGCTAGATATCGATATCGACCATGCTGCCCATTTAAGAAAAATTTGTAGGATAAGAAGAATAAAAGAAGGTTTAAATTGTTTCTTTGACCCATCAATCAGAGCTAAAAAAATGTGAAAGTCTAAATTTTAAAAGATATTGATAATTTAGATAAGAATATTGGCTTTACAGCTAAAGCTATATTAAATTAACTAATGAGTAATTATATAGATGAATAAACTCAATTAGGTTGAAAAATTTTGATCATTCTAAATAGAATAGATATTTAATTTAGAAATATTAATTAACATTAATATCCTTATAATAACAGGAAATATATTTTTCTATTTCTTTCTAAATAATTTTGATACATCATATTAATCATCCATTAAGCTCATCATTAATCATCAGAATAATTTTCATTTTATTAGAATAAAGGGCTTCTCTTTTCTGTTTAATGTAAAGCAATTAAGGTCATTATGCTTAATTATATCTTCAATCAGTTCTACTTTAATTTTTAGAAATAGATTTCATAAGTCTTAAAGGAAGATTCTTAATTCAATTCCTATTAGTTGTAAACCTTTTTTTCTTTTTTATGCAAAATGGTAAGTTTTTATTTATCAATTTTAAATTCTTGGAATCTAAGTTATTTGTTGCATTTTCATTCAACAACTTCTTAACTTTTAACAATCAGTTAATAGCTCCTATATTCTGTTTGTGGTATTTTTATGATTTGGATAATCTTTTTGCAGATTATCTATTCCACTTTTCATGCGAGTAGAAGATTATATATTGTCGTAAACTGAAGAAAAATTATCATTATCTTTTGATAAATTATTAAGAATTCCTCAATCATCTTATAAGAAGCATTTTGAATTGGAGATTATTTAAAAAAAATATTAAATTATGGTAAAAGAAAGTTTAAATAATTGAATTGACAATAAAATTATAAGAATAACTGGTGCAAATATTAGAGGAAATTTTGGTTTATTATTAATTTAAAAGCTATATTGATGCTTTAATTATTATTTTTTTTCTAATAAGGTTGATTTATATCAGTAATAATAAAATGGATGAAGTAATTATTTATTTTTTTGGATAATGTTTTAGTACATAACTTAAGAATTATACAATCCGAAGTTTACAATATGTATCTCATTTGATCTTAATCTCCTTTTACACAACACTTAAATGTGATTTAGAAAGTATGAAGTTCATTTTATTAAAGTATAAATTATTATTATCATTATGATATATATATATATATATATAGATAATTGATTAGATTTCAATTTATTTTTTAAGTATAACTAATCAATTTGAACAGAATTAACAATCTAATAAGAGATTTGAGTTTTAAATTAAGATCATTTACCTTTTGATCTTATAAGAAGAATTAATTTATTTCCTGATTAAAAAATCTCCTAAAATTAAAAAATTGATATACTAAAATTATTATACTTTAAAAAATAATCCTAATGAATCTTCATAATATCTTAATAGCAAAATATTATTTCATTGCTATAATCTAAATTAGTTGATAGAAAAATTTATGAGAATTAATGAACTATAAATTTCTTAAGATTTGAATATATGATTTATTAAAGTTACTTATTCTGAAACATAATTTATCATCATTTTTATTTAACTAAACTTCTTTATTATAGCCTTTATATATTAGTTCAGCTTATTTAATGTCAAAATTAAATTAATTGATTATAATTTCCCATAGAATATCTCTATTTAAATAGAAATAATAATTGTATTGATTTATCTAAATAGTCAAATCATATTGTTAAATTGCATTCAAATATTATTTTAAATTTAATATTAAGTAATAAATATAATATCTTTAGAATGCATGACGTATTCCATAAATAAATAAATTTATATAACTTTTCTTTCATAAAAGTAATCAGCATTAATTCATAATCTATATGATATATATTAATTGAAATACTTTTATTGTAGAAAATACAAGCAACTGTTGAATTATGTTCAAGCTCCTAATCTATTGGTGTTGTTTTAAATTGCTTCTTAAGATTGTTTCAATTCTAATAATAATAGTAAGATTTTTGTTATAATTTTGATCTTCAAATATTATCTTAGTGATTTCCATTAATAATAAACAAATAGAATACTTTTCTAATATTATTCATAACAAAAAAAACATATTGTTAATTTATAATATAGAACTTTAATCTTAATTAAAAATTAATAACTGTTGTATTTAATATTTATAATAAAATAATTATTTATCATTTTTTTAATTTATTTAAAATTTATCATAATTCAATTTCTGATTTAATATATCCTAAATTCTTTGTCTTATGTTGAACTTTAATGTAAAAATACAATAGAAGCAAACGAATAATTGATATCAAAGCATATATTGAACTTTTACTGGATTATTCTAAATGAGGGGGGTAGAATGTAATGTTATAATTCCCGTTTGAAAATTCATTTTAGCAAAATATTTAAACGTTAATTTCATGCTATGTGTGGCTATTCAAAATACATGTGATATTCCAAATACTTATTGGGTAATTATATATCGATTAGTTATAAAAATATAGTGAAGTTCCATTTTGATAATTTTTATTTATAATCATTGCATAATTTGGGTTTGTAGTATTAAATGAACCTTGCATCAAAATGGGTTGCATCAAATTTTTATCTAAGAGACTATTCAAATAATATACTCCAACTATAAATTAACTTAAGTTATTCTATGTAAATTGTTGCATCAAAACTCCATCTTAATAAAAAGAATTAGCACTAATCTATAAAGAACCATAATTTGGAATAGTTCCAATAATTGTGCCATTTTAATTGCTTTAACTATATAATGAAAATTTTTCTATTCGTAAATAAATGATGTAGCTAAAATATATATCATTCAAAAAGTATAATAGCTCTGTGAGAATATATTTATAAAATTAGAATTTAAAAATATTGTATTTAATGTTGATAGCATAATTACGATATATCGCAAAAATTAATGTGATTATTAATCGATTTATAACAATTTATTCTTTAATCTTAAATTACCATAATTCTATAATACAAAATAATTATTATAGTAGTAGAAAATAATGATTTTATCTTATTAAATATCTTCATTAACTTTTGGAATTAATGCAATAGAATAATCTTGGCAACTACTAATACTATTCATTTATAAGGTGTTGTTAGATTAATTAAGCCAATAAAGTATACTATCCTACGATTCTTATTGCTTAGATAATATAAAAATTTGGTTTAATACACTGCTTATTTTGGTAATGTTTACTCTTTATGGAAGTTAAGTAGTTTCAAGTTATATTATTGTACCTGAAGAGTTTAATGTAAAATTGAGTAAATACTATGCAGTATTATTTTCACAAATTGAATATAATTAGTAAATATATGATGTTGATTGTAAACATGTACTAAAATTTAGATATGAATAATTTATATTCGATAGATTATTTAAATCAATATTTACTATTTATAAGTAAAAGTTATTCTATAATGCAAAAAATTCATTATTTATTTAAGTCATTAAGTAAAAATTCTGAAAATTAGAAATGTTATTAGTCTAATGAGAAAATTAAGTTAAATAACAATATTTGCTTAGAGTTTAATTGCAATATTCAACTTATCTATCTATAAATAAATTCATTGGATAAGAGATCAATTTAGTATTAGGGATTATATAATCTTTACTTAAATTAAATGATAAATTTCTTTAATTCAAAAATATTGTGTAATTTGAATATAAAATAATACTTTAATTAGGGGTCTATTAAAAAGCTGTTTGATTTAATGCTGATGTTACACTATAATTATAAATAAATTATGGGTAACTTATTGAATTGTTAAAGTCTTCATTGTAATATTCCACAGATATTTCAAATTGTTAGTATAAATAAAGTTAATAAATACTGTTGTCTGAAAGCAGTATTATTGAATAAATATATAAGTATACAGGCTCATAATGATAACCGCCTTAAATTGCCTAAGTGCAAATAATTGGTGATGTTAATTCTAATTTATACATTAAACTCATATGATATGGTAATTGAGGATTATAAGCATAAACAGTATAATTACTAAATGTTATATATAAGAATAGATTATCAGATTAAATCATTTGATTCAAAAATTTGACACTATATAGATTCTTTACATAATAGTATTTTGGTAAATTTTACACATTCCAAACTTAGAAGCAAATATTCTATTGATTATTACATAGATATGAAAATATCAATTAAATACCTACTAAGTTTATCTGTTTAATTGGAAAATTGATTTGCATCAAAGAAATTGGTATTGGAATACTACTTTAATCTATTGATATTATGATAACTTCATTAATATTATTGATATAGAAAATAGATGATTATGATTATGTATTTACAATTATTTATTAAGGATTGAACAGAATGTTTTTGAACAATATATTAATTGACTATTAATTTAGAGTAAATGTATTTGTAAAATTTAATGTTAGTATTTGAATCTCTTGATTTGGAAATAGAATTATAATACTATTATATGTTACTAAATAATCTGAGAAGTTTTATTAAAAAGTAAAATTTTAATAATTTATTATGTTCTTGGTATCATCAAAGTATTAAAACAAATATATTGCATTATTTGCTCTCAGTCCAATTATGATCATTTTAGGATAAATGCTATAAGCAACTTATAAAGAACTTGCATTTATAGTGATGTTAATTGAATTTAATAGATTCATTTAGCAAATTTGACTGCTTTACAATATATAAAGTGACTAATTAATATATCCTATTAAATAGTATTTTTGTCCGTAAAGAGATAAAAATTATACTAACTAATAACTTTAACTACTTTCACAAATTTTTTGTTAAGCATTTAATGTAAATTTTAAAGGTATGTTTTATGGATTTAACTAATATTGTAATAGTTATCCTGAAAAACCAAAAAAACTATTTTGAACTGATAATTGAAATGAAGTTTAATATTATGTGAAATCTTAATTAAACATTACATATATATTTGTATCATTCTAAGCTAATACTTAAAGATAAAATTTAAATTATATGAATTGTTCAAAATATTTACAATAAAGTGAAAAAGTATTATTATTTCCTGCAATTTCTAAATTAGTTAAGTTGACTTACAAGGAAGCTATTGAGATTTTATAAACTATGATCTCTTGATTAAATGAAAATAATTCATTATCAGAATTGAAATATAATAGTGAATTACCTTAATTTTAAAGAGTATATTTGTAGTATTAGGCTGCCTATTATTATAGAATAATTATCGTATCAATAAATTAATATATTATAAATAGATTACTTTAAAGTATCTTCTAAATTTAAGAATAGCCTGTATAAATAAATAGATCATTGATTACTTATATTATTTAATTTTCACATTATAAGAATGGAGCAATCTAACCATTTGAATCTATTAAATTTATTTGATCACATTAAGAGTAACTGTCAATAGTAAATGTACATCTTCCTCCGAGGATCTGGCCTCGACCGGGATTTAGAGGGGAGGAGCCATAAAGTTATCTCCAGGCAATTAGAAGGTTACCCTCTTGAGTTACTCGTGATTTCCTTGAGCATCATGGTCATCTCTCAACCCTGGACGTTGTAGAACGCTACGATTCGAACCAGGCATTGAAGGGGACAGCCCCTTGAATGACCCAAATTATGATGTCATCACAAATAAAAGATAAAAAAATTTTTAAGAGTAACTTTAAAAATTGTAATAAACATTAATAGTATTAAAATTACTCATACCATCCTAACTAAAATTACTTATCTAATTAAATTGAGAATTTGGTGATATTGATAATTAAAAAATCTCTTGTGAAGTAATCGCATAAATATGAGGATTTATTTTAATTGTAATATCAAAATCGACAAATTAGTAATTTAAGCTACTTTAATTACAAAAATTTGATGAAAATAGTGTAAGTATTGAATAATTCTAAAAATATTAGGCATATACAATAAAAGGATTTGTTTCATTAATAATTGATTATATTTTAGTTTAAGTAGGTACAGATGATTATATATGATAAACATCTATTAATTATCCATCAATAAATTGAATTAAAATAAATTCATTGTTGTAAAAGCAATCTACTAAAATTGAAAAATATGAAGATAAATCGATATTAAAACAATTAAATGAAGAATTAATTTTTATAGATGATCCAATCTATTAAATCATTGAGTTTTTCCATTCATAAATAATTACTTCATTATTATTAGTCAAAGTACCAAAATGAGTATTGTTTGATGATATAGATATAAATTCTACAATAATATTCTTAATATTTTACAATTTCCTTATGTTGAGTATATTTCTTCGCATTAATTTATTACTTGCACATTTGGAACTTAAGTTTAAGTTTTGCACATTAATTAAGTTTCTGATATAAACTTCTCCAGATAATATTCATAAATTTCTCCCACAGTTGGGTACAATGAATATTCTTGATCTATAGAGAATAACGTATTTGGAAATATGCAGGCTACTTTCATTACTAGAAGCATTATTATCATTTTTTAAATATTGATGAATTTTAATCATATTTATTTTGTATTTATATTTTGGATTTGCTGTTATAAATTAAATTTAATATAATGTTCTAGAAATATTTATTTTTACTCATCTAGACAATCTTGATGAATAAAATTTATGATATATAAATAGATTAAAGTATTATTTCTTGGTTTTAATTTTTAAAAAGTTGATTTAATAAATAGGAAAAATGTAATTTTTTCTAAAATTTGTTTTACAAAAAAATCAAAAATTTTATATAGGATTTTATATTTAAAAAATGTTATTCATTAGTTGATAAAATTGATTTTATAAAAATTTAATATTAATGGAAGTATTGATTAGATACAAATATGAATTAAGTATTTTTTATTGTATACTATTTTTGTTACATAATTAATTTAATTGATTGAAAATAAAGTAAGGAGATTGTGAAAAACTATGAAAATTAATGAATTAACTCTCCAAAATTTGACTTTATTTTATTTATTGAAATTAATTTGAATAATATATTAAAGAATTTAATGATCAATTATTTTTAATTATTTGTTAATTTTGATCATATATTATACTATTTAACAAGCAAAAATATTCAAAACTAGACTTTTGAAGAATTCAGAAATAAAGAATGGATTGATTTCAGAAATGATAATGAGAGTAATAAACCAATATTATTAATTAAATTTATTTTGTAATGAAAATTCCATTAATAATTGTGAACAATCTAATGAAAAACTTATTTAATTGTAAACTTCAATGAAATATCACTATTAAAGTATAATTGGTTTATAGATATCATGTATGATCTATAGATATTAAGAATGACACCTCGGCAAAAAGAAAGAAAATAAACATAAGAAAATTGAACAATTAAAAAAAATGAATAATTCCCTTTTTCATCAATCAATTCATTCATTAGGCAAACAAAATGGGATAAAAATAAGTTCATAGGTATTTGAAAGACATTCATAAGAAGAAAACTTCAAATCAATAACAATTTTCAAATTGGAGAGGTCGATAATTATGCTTCAACCTATTTAAAAGAATCATATAGTTGGGTATTTCAAAATTTTGATTAAAATTATACTCATAAATTTTAATTGATTATTTAATTAAGATATCAAATAAATTAATTTATAAATTCCATAACAATAGATTTCCAATAATAAATTGGAAATATTTAAAGATTGTATGAATTGCATACTGATAGTTATTCCGTTTTACTGATAATTGGAAATAAATGTTAATCGTTTTACTTGAGATCCTGCAATACTTGTGATTGGCAGAAGAATCAATATCATTTTCTTAATGTAAATGTATTGATTTAAAACAGTTTAAATTTAAGAGAAGACAAGTATTATAGTCAGGGATTGAAGATAAATAGCCAGAAAGTTTGTTTAAGATACTAAATCACATTCCTAAATTAGACATAAAAAATCATCAATTAATTATAGAAAGGGGCAAAGAAACAAAATATAAAATAAAGAAAGAAATAAAAGTGGATCATAAGAATAATAAATATTTTAACTTTAACTAAGAACTATAAATGAGCTATGTTAATCGTAAGGGAATTTACATTTAGTGATTTTACACAAAATTTATTCATGAATGCTTCATATGAATTAAAAGAAAATTTACATCATTAAATAATAAATAATGGAGTATTAAGTGGTGAATAAAGCAGTATTAGAAAAAATAAACAAATATTTTTGGTTGATAAATTCATTCTGTATTTCAAAGCAATTAAATTATCATATTCTAATAATTTCAGCCTATCTTATTAGTTCAGAATGCCTGTGCTGTCAAAGGTCCAAGTCATGGTAACAACTTATTGAGTAACAGCTGTACTGAGTTTCAATAAGACTGTTCATTTATATTACTATCAATTCAAATTTGAACTGAATAAGATAGTATGAATTTGAAATTTTATTTAAATTCATTTTAATTTTAATGATTGATTGATTAAGAATACTCAAATATGTGTATATATTTTATATATATATTAAAAAAAATAACATATCATGGCCAAAAGATAAAGTCCGAAAAATCCTAGAAGTGGACCTGTTAAGCGAGCTAGCACTTCACTTGCCAACTACAATCCTCCCTGAGAAAGTAGGGCTTGTGCGAGTACTATATGAGGACCATTTTCGAGAAGGACACTTAAGATAGATATGCTCTTCTCGGGCAAGTCAAAATCTAACAACTCAAATTAAGACAAGGAGGGTATCATCAAAAAAATGACTGAATACTGGATGAATGGATAAATTACTTATAAATACAGACCATAGGAATACTTGGAAGAGTTAATGAAGAAACATGGTATTAGTACGAAAGAAGATATGAAATGGACTAAACTCTAAATCCTAGGAGCACCTTTGATTATAGACTCAAGGATTGAAGTCACTAGAAAAGGAAAATGGATTAAATTTTTTAATCTCTTTGAAAATATTTTTTTCAAGTTATCAGAATGATCAGTCAGATTTCATCGGTATATTATTTTATCACAAATGTCACAACACTTCTCCAAAATCCTCAAATGTCGCCTAATAATTGAGGAACTTGATGACCTTCACCATGTATGGCTTAACTAAACCTATCTGCAACTACTAGACAAGTTCTACTTAAATGAAAATAACAAAGTAAAACTAGTATCCTCAAACTGGTGTCAATACATCAGAAATTTGAAAGGTGGTAAGATCTTATTAGAGGACTTTCTCAGCCATAGTAGCTAGGAAGAGTTTGTTTTAAATGGTGGACAACCAACTCAAAGCTTCTAAGATCTAAGAGAAATACATCATCGCTTAAGACGGCAGTCAATCATAACAATCAATTAAGAAAATTAAAATACAGACCTAAATTCAGATTTAGGCTGATAACCTCAAGCTGATTCAAGCTATTCAAGATGAAGTTACGACATTGGAAGAGTTTGAACTTCAATTTAGAGAATCTTAACTTGGTAAAATTGATGACTTTAATCGAATATGGAACGGACGTATCCAATCCATAACATATGATCAAGAACTTGATGTCTTAGACAAAGGAAGGGACTTCCGCAAAAGATTCGACTACATAAACGACATCAACCTACCAGAGAAATACCATTATACACCTTACTCAATTTTAGAGACTAAAAATTCACCCAAACTATTAAAGAGAATTCTTACTTAATCTTAATAAAAAGAAAAACTCTAAGGAACAATGCATGGCAATATTTTTGCATAATGAGAAAGAAGCTCATGTAAAAGAACTTCATCAGATGGTTTAATCACAAAGGTAAAAAACGTATGGGCACTCTATGACATATCAATGGATGAAAAGATCGTGAAGGCTTATGAAAGAATCATCTAAGACCCAGGCAAAGACAAAATTAAAAAGCTTTCAAAGCAGACAGGGGCATCAATAACTATAGGGCTTTCAAAGATACTTCATGGGAAATAGTCATGTTCACCTCCTCTACCGAAAATTAGACATGGAGCCTAGATGAAAGAAAAAATGTTTTGGTTTTGAAACTCAATTTTAACATTCATAATGCAATCTTACTTGTTAATTGTATAGGGTATTTGAGCAGACTTAAATTCGAATGTTATTTTAATAATCAGACTTTCTAGATATTTTTCCCATTAATTTGGGCAAATTTTATATATGGAAACTTTAAATTAAAAAATATTAGATGTTAGAAAAAACTAAGCAAGCTTTTCAAATGAATGCAATTTTATCATATTTCTAGAATTTAAGTTGTCATAATTGACTTAAGATGGGAGAATTATACCACAAATGTAATAGCAGCATCGCTCAAATTGGCTACTAATTACATCAGATATAGGGAACAAAATTCATTGTCAGAATAAAAGAAGGGATTAATTAGTTTTTTGATACTCACAACAGTTGAGAATTCCTTAAAGCTGCTAAAAATTTTGATAATTTAAAATCTATTTTTAGCTATCAAAGAATGCCTAACATTTTAACATATATTAAATGAATGTTGTGATGTTTCCTATCGCTCTCCTGATACAATGGATAAAAGATGCCATAATGAAAAATCTATTAACGAAAGGTTTGAATATGGGTTACAATATTTAAGTATCAGCTAATTAATGTTAATATTATCTTTATTGATGAAACTTCATTAGGCTACAATCCAAATTGATTGTGTATTGACAAATCAAAGGAAAATCAAAATTTCAATTTTATGAAAAAAAAACTGCAAATATAATCAAATATTCTCCATCATTGCTTAATTACCCATAAATATTATAATGACCAAATTAAATATTTTATACACTTATAAATTCTCTATTTTCTAACTTCCTTAACAAATTTATATTGTTGCCATTCTTATTCATTCAGGAGATTTCGATTTTTATGTATTTTTATGGAAATAGATTATCACAACAATTTGAATCACATTTTACATTAATTTCTTTTGTCTTAATAAATTTCTTATCCGTACTGTTTGGTTCATAAATAGACATATATTCTTAACATTCAGGTTAGAAAGTGAATAAATTCTCATTTATAAAACTCAATCGATACCCAAATTAATCTACTTATATCTTTTATATTACAGACCAGATATTTTCTAATTATTAAAATTTAATAACTAATATTTTTGAATCATTTGAACATGCAATCAATTTATATTCCTATTCACTAAACTTAATGAGCACAGTTAACTAGTGTAATTTTTAAAGGTTTATTAACATTATCATTCATTTATTTATTCCAGAATTTAATTGTATTATCATAACTGCTTGAGTTAATAAGATTTTCATTATTATTTATCAATAAAAACACAATACTATGAGAATGTCCATTTAATATTTATTAGAAAGTCCATAAATTGCTTTCATTCATCTACCATATAATAATTTATTTATCATGACTTCCAGATACAAAATTATTTGATTTCTACATGAAATTTAATGTATATACAGTTGTTGTATGTTCACTTAATAATTATATTTGATTTAAATTCCCTTATTGATTTTCAAAAACTTTAATTAAATTATCACATCCTGCTAAAACAATTGAGTTATCTTTATTAATAGCTATTGAATAACAACCTTTTTCCTGCTTGGTTGAATTTTAAGTGATGAGCTCAAATTAGAATGAATTTAAATTATTAGATTCTAATGTATTTAAATCATATTATTTTCGAAGATCAATTTACAAGATTTTTACATCTATAAATTATTATTTTACTAGAAATTTGTTTGATTCTTTAGATTTTCTATTATTTTATTTACAGTCATTTTAATTTATTCCTTTGATTATAGTAATTATTGAAGTAATATATTCTCTAAAGATTCAATCTAACATAAACCTTTAATCAAAAAGGTCTAACTCATAAAATCCTAATTACTTTAACTATTCAATGTTAAAATTGATATAGCGAATTAATCTATTTTTAAGATTATCAAGTGATATTTTACTTTCCTAAGTATAGGACTCGTTGATAGATCCAGTCATTTAATTATTCTAATGACACTAATATATATTAAGATGTTGACTATGACTATGCAAACAAAAATGACAATAGGGTCTTAATGATGACATGTACTCTCTATACAAACACCCAATATTTGATGATTGAGATTATCCTCTTAAGTACATCTTATCTACATATATTGATTATAATAAAAATTATATTTGAATATAAAGTAATTTTTAAAATATAATAAAATAATTTTATTAGAACATAACCTATTAGGCGGTAGAAGTAATTCATGTAAAGCATTTAAATCTAAATTTAAAGAAAATAAAATAATTTAAAATTAAAAAGTTAAATATTAAAATCTAACATTGAAATAAATTATATCTTCTTAAAATTATGTATGACTTATATTAAAAGTGTAAAGCCTAATGATTTAATATAATTATTAGTAAATAAAATCAATTTGAAGTGCAATAAATATTTTATTTCTTATTTAACTTAAAAAGTAGAGGATAATGATTAAAGACTATATTGAATAAAATGATATATATTAGACTTTTGATCCTACATCATATATGATGGATTATGGTTTAAGAAATTAGTTAGAATTATATAATGATGATGTTCTGAATTTTTTTCTGGAAGCATCCTCAATAATTTCTTTAAAAAGATAAACTAGAATTACTTAAATGGTTATATTATTGAGATAGCGAGTCAATATCTTTATTAAATCAAAATAAATTTATAGATTTTTCTATTAAAAAAAAAAAGATTTTTATCTATTTGATTGAATTCTTTGATTATTAAAATAACGTAATTATTATAAATATTAGGATAAGCAAGTTCAATAAAATAATCTATTTTATCTGTTCATAAATATTAGAATCTATTTTGCATAAGGTTGGATACTAATAATCAGATAGAAAATAATTTTAATAGAAAAATCTTAATTAATATAAATTTAAAGATCAATTTTATAAGGTAATCGGGTGTTGCTTTTAAAAATAAAGATAAAAAGGAAATAATAATATCTTTAAGAACGAAGTTTAAAAAATGGTCAATAGATAGAAAATAAAATCAAACTCTAAAGAAATAATTTAAATACCTGTTGCTCTTCCAGATTCTCCTTTTGATTACGAAGATTTAAAAATAAATATATAATAGAGAATTAAATTTACTGATTTTACTAAAAACAACTGTAATATCTAAACTTGTTATATGACTAATGATGAGTGTACTGAATAGAATAGTGGAATCTTTCCATAAGAGTCTTGCTATGTATTCCTATCATATGACTCTATATACATGATATTCTGCCCTTGGAATTAAAGTGAGAGTAGTGATTTAAATATTTCAACTTTGACATAAGAATAATATTTAGATGCAACATATTTCACAAAAGAATGGAATTCAGATTCATAAAAATGTAAGCTATGTGTAATTTCTAATACAGATTCGAGCTATAATATAATTCTTTATGAATCAATTTTTATGGAATTAGTATTGTTATCATGAATTTTAAGTTTAAATAAGAGCATTATCACATATAAACATATATTCGAATTTTTAATAGTATAGGTTAAGGTTTGATTCTTGAGAATTAAAAAATACTAATTTCTTTTGTTTATTGTTCATATTCAGATAATAAAAAATAATATGATTAATAAAAAATCTACTCCTGAGTTTGTTCTTTTTTATTACTTCTGTGATGGAGTGATAGCTTTCAATGGAGGTTGTTATAATTTTTGCACAGTTGCTGATTTTCTATTTAAAATGAAATTTAAATTAAAGATTTAATAATGCATTATTTCTTTTTAAAGTCAACTCTAGTAAATTATGATTTTAATAATAATTTTAATAAGCAAAATTTCCGATTAAGATTCTAGTTAATTATATTTGTTGTCTTAATGATTTTTCATTAATAAATTAATTTGCTGTATTTTTAGTATTAAAGCCAAATCATTCTAATTTGTTTTACTTTTACTTTTTATTCGAACACAAAATCGTATTACTAATTTATTCTTATGTGAACTCCTTAGTAACTATAATGAGAATTTATCCAAAGAATTCAAAGGGAATGCTAAGAATCATATTCATAAGAATCTTGTCTCCAAAATTTTATTTAATGCTATTGGAATGGAAATATATGTTCATAATTTACTTGTTGTTCGTAATTAACCTATCAAAATACATCATGCACTTAATAAAATATTCAATGGGGCTAATTTACTAGTAACTCTACAACCTGTTTTTCATTATACTTGATTAAATTAATTGATTTGTAGATGAATTGCCTGAATGATCATATTTTAATCAAGATTAATGTACACCTGAATAAATTGGTTATCAAGGAACTTTATGTCTTTGGAATAACACTTAAATATGCCAACCGCTAAAATCATGCTCATAAGTATAATAATCTTAATGTACATAATGGAAAAATACTTGTTAATGGAATTATACAATGAATGAATGCGCATAATTTTTACTTTGAGAAATATCTACAATTACAACGTAACCGTTTTACAAATTAATCAACTTGTATTATATTAGGCCTAAATCTATAAACAATAATACCATAGTAATATGTAATTGGAACTTGTCAGTTAATTGAAAGTGCAATATAAGTAAATGCTTATAATTGCTCATATAAAACTTTATCAACATATTATTGGATTTAAGGCAATCATAATACTGAATTATGTATTTCATGTATGATCAAATTACATTGAGTGACATTTTTGATTAATATCAACCCAACAATAAATGAATATGTTCTAGTTACCTAAGTCACTTTATAGATAAAATGAAAAAAGTAGTAGCACATCTCTAAGCATATTTTAATCATGATAATCAAGTTTTGAAAGGATATTTAAATCAAGCAACTGATATATTTTGAAGTTGCTTCAATCTAATTGAAAAAGATTCAACAAAATTAATGATGATGATTTTATAATGTAAAATTTGACTAATCCTGAAAATTAAATCCAAACTCACTTGCTAACTTTGATATTGAAAGAAATTAACATCTGCAAAATGTGATGGAAAAGGTCTACACAGAATAACTAGATTTTGCAGCATAATGCTAATTTTGTGGTTAATTAGAGTAATTATGAAATGCTAACCAATTTGAAACATTAAACAAACTATTAAATAATTAGAAGTAATTTTAGTTAAATTGAGTCAAAAAATAAATTTAAACTTAAACATAATTAATGTAAGGACAATAAGCTTAATAATTGTTAGTTTAATCAAATATCTAATTTTCATTTTAGATATAATAATTTTAATATCAATAATTATAATAACCACAAGATTCTTTATGGTTAAATAAATCATAAACAATTCCAATTAAAACTGGAAATCAATTATAAATTGAAGTTATGCTTTAATTAAGAGTTTGTACACATGAATTAATGAAAAATTATGATAAATAATAGAAAAAGATCCAAAAAGACTTTGCTAAATAGATGGTGGTGGTTTTTTTAGGTAATCAATTCATTGTTTTTACTAGTTATTGCTGGACAGATGGATATGGATGGATGGGAACTCTTTATGAACGTTTAGAATGATCTAATTAAACCCATAGTGCTAAATTTGTAATTAGGACATGCAACACACTATGATCTTGAATTAGAGACAAGGGGACTTGGTTCTTATATAAGAAATGAATATTTTTCATTTATAAGTCAAATATAGAAGAATTTACATTATTACACAAGTTTAATCTTTTAATAATTAAAATTCATTATAAACTATTATAACGCGACGCAATTGTTAAATTTTTTATCGTTTAACATATCATTAAGTATCCTCTCTTACTCGACAAACAGAGTAGCTTTGTACTTAATTTATATTTTGACTTTTTATGATTGAAAACAATAAATCAATATTTTTATGTTTTTGATTAAATTCTGATGAATTTTTCACTTCTCTTATTTGTTAGACTTAATAAAAAAAATTAAAACGATAATAAAAATGATTTCTATTTTTCATTTAAAGATATTTAAAGGTGAATTTTAGTGCAATTTGAAAGGCAATCCTAAACAGAACTACTCAGAATTCATCTATAAAATCATTGATTCTGATTAACCTTAGAAAATATTTTTAATGATGATTAAGATTAATTTGAAGAGTTTAAGATTTTTTGAAAAGCAAGATTTTCAATGATCCACATGAAATACATTAGCATCTTACCAATATTTATAATTAATGGAACACTTAATCTAAAGTAGTAATTAAAAGGATAGAAATTTTCAGACTTATAATGCTAATGTACTTAGGATTATTGGAGAGGAATTTCTCTCAAGGTGGATTTTATATTATTGATATGAGTTCAATAAAATATACGAATTATTACATTTCTAAATAGAAATTGAAATGTTTTTAGAACTATATCAAGACATTTTACTTAAATTCTGATGCCATTTAAAATGATCAATTAATATTTACTAAAAATACTTTTAACAAAGAAGAGTTCAAAAAGAAGTTTGAATAATCAATTTATTAGAACATTGATTTTGAATTCACTTAATTGAAAAATGAAGATCACCAAAATTCTACTGTTGTAGACTTTGCTGATTAAAATATCGGAGGACTAGTTCTTGATACTAGAAATTGTGCATAAGAAGAAGTAAAATTAAATATTAAACCAAGATTTTTATGCTAATATTCCCTGAAGCAACAGTATCTAAGATTTTTATTTCATAAATGAATGAGACTGAAGAAGTATTAATTGAAAATTTGAAAATATACAGTAATTATACTGGATATGAACAATCATTTAATTGCTAACCTTCTATGACTCTTTAGGGAAATTATAATATGCTAGTATATTCTACACAATATTATTTAAGCTATTGACGAAATACCATTTTACAGTGAAATTAATTTACAGAAAAAAATATTAATAGAGAATTTATAAAACGTTATGCAGGGTCTGAAATATCATTAAGAAACTAGCCCAATTGTTATATATCTACAGGAAGATGGGGTTGCGGAATTTTTAGAGGCAATCCTTACTTAAAGACATTGATTTAATTTTTAATTTTTGCTATTGCAGTTAATTAAGTAAGTAAATAACAATGAAAAATAATTATCAATTGCGTAAATGACTAGTCTTTTTTTACTTTTGGAGTTTAGTTAAAGAAATTATAAGGTCACAAAGGAGTATAGCTTAATTTAATAAATCTCAAGAAATCAATATTGTATGTGCAAAATGGAATAAATCAATAAGCATTTTATATTGAAGGAAATAATATTATAAGCTAGATATACACAATTTTGACTCAGGATATTTAATAAATATAAAAATTAAGATTAGGAAATGATGATGATGTAATTTAAGCCTAAATTGATTAAGAAATTAAATTAGTACTAGTAAATGCTCCAATTATTGAAGAAAATAAAGAAATTAAGATGTTAAATAATTAAGAAAATAAAAATAGAAATTATTAGGTAATAGGGATAGCCATTATTTTTGCTATTGCCGTCGGAGTCTTTACTTACAAAAAGGTTTTTAAATGAGATATATTCTATATTATTAAAGTATTCATCATTTTTTCAATTAGGTTAATATATAAATATCTAATAAGAAACATTTGATATGATTGATAAACCAAATAAATAAATATATTTATCAAAGTGCTATTAATAATTTCCTTAATTGTTATGCTTTTATAAAAACATTTATATGTTTTATTTATTCAAACCTGATTTTCAACTAAGAAAAAGGGATCATCATCTTAATAATATAGCATAATTATATATCAATTTATTTGAGTAGAAAAAATTTATTATAAAGTTTTTCAAAAGTTAAATTTAGATTGAAGAAATAGTTTTTAATTATTTATTTATTGATTATTTCCTCATTCATTATTTTATTTTTGAATGTTAATGGGGGAAGTTAGAAATTAATGAAATGACTAATATCAAGTAAATTAGTAAAATCATTTATTTGAAATTGTACTAATTTTACAAAAATACAATAATTATTTCAACTTTTGATGAATTACAAATTCAAGTCTATTTTAAGTATTAACTGAAAATTTGTATTTTTAATTAAAATTCAAATTTAATTTAACTAATTATAGACTATTCTTGAAATATTTAATAACTGAAANTTTAGGGAAATTATAATATGCTAGTATATTTTAAGCAATATTATTTAGGCTATTGATGCAAAACCATTTTATAGTGAAAATTAATTTACAGAAAAAAATATTGATAGAGAATTAATAAAATGTTATGCAGGGTTTGAAATATCATTAAGAAACTAGCCCAATTATTATATATCTACAGGAAGATGGGGTTGCGGAATTTTTAGAGGCAATCCTTACTTAAAGACATTGATTTAATTTTTAAGTTTCGCTATTGCAGTTAATTAAGTAAATCAATAACAATCAAAAATAATTTTCAATTGCGTAAATGACTAGTCTTTATTTAATTTTGGAGTTTAGTTAAAGAAATTATTAGGTCAAAAAGGAGTATAGCTTAATTTAATAAATCTCAAGAAATCAATATTGTATATGTAAAATGGAATAAATGAATAAGCATTTTATATTGAAGGAAATAATATTATAAGCTAGATATACACAATTTTGACTCAGGACATTTAATAAATATAAAAATTAAGATTAGGAAATGATGATGATGTAATTTAAGCCTAAGTTGATTAAGAAATTAAATAAGTACTAGTAAATGCTCCAATTATTGAAGAAAATAAAGAAATTAAGATGTTGAATAATTAAGAAAAAAAAAATAGAAATTATTAGGTAATAGCCATTATTATTGCTTTTGCTGTTGGAGTCTTTACTTACAAAAAAGTTTTTAAATGAGATATATTCTATGTTATTAAAGTATTCATTATTTTTTCAATTAAATTAATATATTAATATGTAATAAGATACATTTGATATGATTTATAAACCAAATAAATAAATATATTTATCAAAGTGCTGTTAATAATTTCCTTATTTGTTATGCTTTTATAATAACATTTATATGTTTTATTTATTCAAACCTTGATTTTCAACTAAGACAAAGAGATCATCATCTTAATAATATAGCATAATTATATATCTATTTATTTGAGTAGAAAGTTTTCCAAGTTAAACTTAGATTGAAGAAATAGTTTTTAATTAAATATTATTGGCTAATTCCTCATTCATTATTTTGTTTATGAATGTTAATGAAATTAATGAAATGACTAATATCAAGTAAATTAGTAAAATCATTTATTTGAAATTGTACTAATTTTACAAAAATACAATAATTATTTCAACTTTTGATGAATTACAAATTCAAGTCTATTTTAAGTATTAACTGAAAATTTGTATTTTTAATTAAAATTCAAATTTAATTTAACTAATTATAGACTAATTACAACAAGATATAGTTTAAGAACAATTTTTTTCATTTAGAAATTGATGGTAATTACATTGTTGATTCAAATAAGCTTTGGATATTCTATTTTTTGAAGTCCCTCAATTAAATAAATCTATTATCTTTTATGAAAATCTTAAGCCTTACTCCAATATTTATCTAAAAAATATTGAGGTTTAAATAAAATTTTTTTGCATTGATTTGTAATTAAAATAAACATAGATTTCTCTTTTATTTTTGTTTGTGAGAATAAAACTTGAGAATAATCAAATTTAGGATATATATATCAATATCAATTTCAAATTTATATAAAATGATCAAAAAAAAATTAAGCTAATATCTGTATAATCAACAAGAAAGTAATAGAATTAATAAACTTCAAGTATACAATTGATTAATTTTTAAATTATGTAGATTATATTATTACATTAGTATTAAGGCCAATATTTCTCATTAATGTCAATGAATTTTAAATGTTATACCATAATATAGATCGAACAACTTTTGATTGAAATTGTTTTAAACAGATAATCTTTAAGATTGAGCTACAGCTTTAATTCACTTAGCCTCAATTCAAGAGTGTATAACAATAAATTTCTTCTGTTCTTAGAATGCTCTTACTAACTCTTCAAATTCATTTATAAATTTGATCTGAGATCATCAAATTAATGGATTATATTATTTAAAAACATAATCTACCTTTAGAATATGGCGATTATACTATAATATACAATTAGAAAATTATTAACATTAATTTGATTAGGAGTAAATCAAATTAATGATATAATAAGCTTTCAAAATAAAAATAAATGCGGAGATATTTTAATATCTGTGTCTATAATTATTTGCTTTAATTGTTTGATAAAGATATAATTGCATTGAAAAGTTCAGTATTTGAAATTATATTAATTTAAGAAATTTAACAATAAATTCTTCAAAATATGATCTAAGTTAAGAAATAAATTACTCAGGATGCATTACTATCGATTCATCTAATAGTTTGCTAAATTTCAACATAATTAATGTTGTATTTTTTAATATTTATAATTGTAACGTCTCATAAAAAAAAAGTATTATTCTCAATATGAATTGTTATCAAAAACGACAATATTAACTTTTAGGGATTACTTTTATCAAAAATTTTGAAAAAACTGGGATGCTAAATTAAAACGANTTTTTTCATTTAGAAATTGATGGTAATTACATTGTTGATTCAAATAAGCTTTGGATATTCTATTTTTTGAAGTCCCTCAATTAAATAAATCTATTATCTTTTATGAAAATCTTAAGCCTTACTCCAATATTTATCTAAAAAATATTGAGGTTTAAATAAAATTTTTTTGCATTGATTTGTAATTAAAATAAACATAGATTTCTCTTTTATTTTTGTTTGTGAGAATAAAACTTGAGAATAATCAAATTTAGGATATATATATCAATATCAATTTCAAATTTATATAAAATGATCAAAAAAAAATTAAGCTAATATCTGTATAATCAACAAGAAAGTAATAGAATTAATAAACTTCAAGTATACAATTGATTAATTTTTAAATTATGTAGATTATATTATTACATTAGTATTAAGGCCAATATTTCTCATTAATGTCAATGAATTTTAAATGTTATACCATAATATAGATCGAACAACTTTTGATTGAAATTGTTTTAAACAGATAATCTTTAAGATTGAGCTACAGCTTTAATTCACTTAGCCTCAATTCAAGAGTGTATAACAATAAATTTCTTCTGTTCTTAGAATGCTCTTACTAACTCTTCAAATTCATTTATAAATTTGATCTGAGATCATCAAATTAATGGATTATATTATTTAAAAACATAATCTACCTTTAGAATATGGCGATTATACTATAATATACAATTAGAAAATTATTAACATTAATTTGATTAGGAGTAAATCAAATTAATGATATAATAAGCTTTCAAAATAAAAATAAATGCGGAGATATTTTAATATCTGTGTCTATAATTATTTGCTTTAATTGTTTGATAAAGATATAATTGCATTGAAAAGTTCAGTATTTGAAATTATATTAATTTAAGAAATTTAACAATAAATTCTTCAAAATATGATCTAAGTTAAGAAATAAATTACTCAGGATGCATTACTATCGATTCATCTAATAGTTTGCTAAATTTCAACATAATTAATGTTGTATTTTTTAATATTTATAATTGTAACGTCTCATAAAAAAAAAGTATTATTCTCAATATGAATTGTTATCAAAAACGACAATATTAACTTTTAGGGATTACTTTTATCAAAAATTTTGAAAAAACTGGGATGCTAAATTAAAACGAAATAATAGATATTAATAGCACCTTTAATGCTTTAATTTAATTATTGCGATGTATTTTTCTCAAAAATTTTCTTTATTTGTCCTTTAATTTAATTGATGAAAGCAATATGTTCATTAAATTCTTCATATTTGGTATTGATAACTAACAATAGTACAAGTAATTAAGGAGGTAGCATATTTTTGAACATGGAAGCCAAGTATTTGATTATTTATAAATAAACAAATAAAACTAATCTTCCTTCTGAATTAGTTGGAATATATATTTTCTTTAATTGATATAATCATTCAATTTTATTATCAAACATGATATTTTCATGATTCTAAATTAATGTTAATTTTTCTTAATATAGCATATAGTTTATCTCTTATTTGAATCTTGATTGATTGGTATCTATAATTGTTGGTACCTGTCTCTTCTTGGTATTTATTATTTACTCCATGAAATGGATAAATTTAACTGATAAATATTTTCGAGTAATAAAAATCTATTGCAAACAAAAAAATAGAAATAATAGTAGAAACAATTATAATTTCTATGTATTACCTTCAAGGTTAATGATAATCGTATCCACTAGGACATAATCGCATTATCACAATGAAAAGTTCTTAATTTCTTTTTGAGTTTGTATGGTTACATCATACTCTCACATCTAGTTACTCCAATTAAAGTAAATATGAGTTCAGAAATCAAAGAAAGCATATTTTCAATATTTAGCCACTCAGTATGGATGCCTAAATTAATAGTATACAAATCATTGTTGAATCTATCTAGTTAAGATATATGTAGGTCTAATGTTTGCACCATTAGCTTTATTCCTTTGATTCTTGCACTTAATTCATAAATTTTCATTTCTATCTGCCTAAGAATTCGTTCCCTCATATAAAGCAAAATGTTTGATTTTTTCTTCAATGTAACAGCATTTCCTTCATTATCTTCAATACCTTTTAATTATTTTTATATGTTGAATTTCATATGTATGCTAAGTATTCTCTAATAGTGATACAACAATTTTGTAAATGTTTGATTATTTTATTAAATACATCTGAAATTATTGACATAAAATTTCAATTATAAATTAAAAATAAATTCTGATATATTATTAGCCTTCTAAATGATACTAAGGTATTATAATTCGAAAGCATATTAATAGAATCATATGCGTTTAGAGTTGCATTTCAATAAGATTTTGATTCTTGCATTGTTATGCTTGTATTCCAATATGTGCATCAAATAGTCATTACATTAATGATAAAATTCAAGAAATTCAAAGTAGCAATATTAAATGACATAAATGGATAATAATGAAATAAACTTGATTCTCAATCCCTTCAAACAACATAGCATTTTTCATTCTTAAACAAACAAATAACAATTGGAAATAAGATCGTAGAATTATTAAAAATTTTAAATATAAAAATAATAATCATCATTATTATTTATTCCTGTTAAGGCTATAGATTTATCATAATCAGTTATTCCTAGTTGTGTTATTGCATTCATATGTTAATGAGTTAGCAATTTCTTCTAAATCTTCCTTTTCATGTATTTTCATCCTTTCTTATTTTCAAAATTTCTCAGTTTGCTTTTGAACATTTTTATATTTTATCCAATCCAATCTCTTTATTTGTGGATTTTGTATTCAAATAAAAAGTCTTTCTAGATTATATTCTTATCTTATTAGGGCTAGATGCACATCTGACCAAATTACTGATGGAGCCTTCACCATCCAAGATAGAACAATTTAAAATTTTGATAAATTTAAAAATGAATTTTACAAAAAACAAATTATAAGATAAGAAAATATTTTATTTTGTTTAATTAAATAATGAGTATTTTAAGTCTAATATAATTTATACTGATTATAATCGTAGGCTAATCTTGATATGGTTTTAATCTAGTCAACATTAATAAATCATTACATATTTGCCATCAGTTTTATTTTTTCCTATCTTTCTCTTGATGGTAATAAATTAGCTTTTGGCAGTGGTGATCAGTCTATCTGTCTATGGGATGTTAAAACAGGATAATAAAACTAGTAATGTCCTATCAGTCTGTTTCTCTCCTGATGGAAATAAATTAGTTTTTGAATAAGATATTCAAACATAGAATATTTATATAATGCAATTATCTTTCATGTTGTTATTATTATATTAAATTTAGTTACCCATTCATAACATATCCGAAACTATATATTTTAAGTTTAAGGAGCTCTTGTCCTTAAGTAACTGGTGATAATTATTAAGGCTTCGATTGAAGATAATTATTAAAATCAAAAGGTAGCATTTTTAAAAACTTTAAGCAAAATAAGACAGAAGATTACTTTTAGAACAAGAATTTTTCCTTTTTGGATAATTTCGCAATAGAATAATTATAATTTCTTAATCAAGAAAATATAATTATAAATACTTGTACTCAATAATAAATTTTTGTTTTTGAAGTATTTAATAAATAATTTGTTAATAAATTTATATAAATTTAAAATTCATCTGATTGATGAGTTCATCAAAAGAGTAAAGTTTTTTGGTGTTGTGAAGTAATGAGGTATATTTTTTTTGTCTAGATATTTATTAGTTTCGTGAAAATCCTCTTGAAGTTAACAATTATTATACATGATCTCAGTTATTTATAAATGTTTATTATTTGAAGTATGTAAAAATTTCAAATTTGAGAGGATATAATTATCTTCGTAAATCTTAGTACTTTCAATTATATTGTATTTCTTGATGATTCATTAATCTTTTCAGTCTTTTATAAAATCTAATAATTTTCATATCAATTGAAAAATAATAATAAAAGATGATTAGTACATTACTTTCAATATGAAATATCATCCAATCTAATTGTTTTACTTTATCATTCTAATACTAAGTTTATTTTTTAAATATATTCTTAATGTATCTTTATTCTTATCTTTGTTATAAAAAATATATTTTGCTATTTCTAAACTAATATAACAAAATTATTATATATTTTGTTAGAACTAATCCAGTTTGTTATTAATAATAAATTAAGTAAATTAATCATATAATATCCTAGATCTTATGATAAAAGAATGAAAGTCTTATGACATCTCGACATTTATTCGCTATATTAGATTGAACATATGTAATAATGATATTAAAATAAATGTGGTATATATCTGATTGAAATGAAATAAAACTTTGATAAATAAGAACTTAGAAGTGAAGTTGAAGAGTAGAATCTGATAAAGAAATAATTAATTTAAATTTTAGATATTGATTGTGATTATAATTGTTGTTTGATTATGATTATAATCATTTTTTCGATTAGTCTTCTAAATAGTAACTTCCTTTTTATTTGAACAATGTCTTTAAATCTATACCGGATTGAGTTATAAATTCTCCTTTCAGAATTAAAGCTCCTTTAGCTTGAAATATTGCCTTTTGGGATATCACGAGAGTTGTAATAAAATTAGAAACTAAAAATATAAAAATTATAAATATAACCTTCTGATATAGGTGTATTTTATTAGAATGGAATCTTAAATTAAGCTAGAATATCTTTATATTTATTGTCATCAGATTAAATTTCTTATTCATTCTTTACATCCCATAGACGAATTGACTTATCACCACTACCAAAAGCTAATATATTTCCATCTACAGAGAAACAAACTGACCAAACTTAGTTACTATGACTATCTATTATGGCTTATTGTTATCCTGTTTTGACATCCCAGAGACGGATAGAGTTATCTCTACTACTAGAAGCTAATGTATTTCCATCAGGAGAAAAACAGACTGACCAGACACAATGAGTATGACCATCTAATTTGGCCTTTTATTACCCTGTTTTGACATTCCATAGACGGATAGAACAATCACTACTACCAGAAGCTAATGTATTTCCATCTGGAGAGAAACAGACTGACTAGACAGTTCGACTATGGCCATCTAATTTGGCTTTTTACTATCCTATTTTGACATCCCATAGACGGATAGATATATCATAAATACTAAAAGCTAATGTATTTCCATCAGGAGAGAAACAGGCTGACATAACATAGTTACTATGACCATCTAATTTGGCTTTTTATAATCCTGTTTTGACATCCCATAGACGGATAGAGTTATCATAACTACAAGAAGCTAATATATATCCATCAGGAGAGAAACAGACTGATAAGAGACCATCACTATGACCATCTAATTTGGCTTTTTATTATCCTGTTTTGACATCCCATAGATGGATAGACCTATCACCACTACCAGAAGCTAATGTATTTCCATCAGGAGAGAAACAGACTGAGTTAATACAACCACTATGACCATTTAATTTGGCTTTTTATTATCCTGTTTTGACATCCCATAGACGGATAGACTTATCATCACTACCAGAAGCTAATGTATTTCCATCAGGAGAGAAACAGACTGAATTTACACAACTACTATGACCATCTAATTTGGCTTTTTATTATCCTGTTTTGACATCCCATAGACGGATAGACTTATCATCACTACCAGAAGCTAATGTATTTCCATCAGGAGAGAAACAGACTGAATTTACACAACTACTATGACCATCTAATTTGGCTTTTTATTATCCTGTTTTGACATCCCATAGACGGATAGACTTATCATCACTACCAGAAGCTAATGTATTTCCATCAGGAGAGAAACAGACTGAATTTACACAACTACTATGACCATCTAATTTGGCTTTTTATTATCCTGTTTTGACATCCCATAGACGGATAGACTTATCATCACTACCAGAAGCTAATGTATTTCCATCAGGAGAGAAACAGACTGAATTTACACAACTACTATGACCATCTAATTTGGCTTTTTATTATCCTGTTTTGACATCCCATAGACGGATAGACTTATCATCACTACCAGAAGCTAATGTATTTCCATCAGGAGAGAAACAGACTGAATTTACACAACTACTATGACCATCTAATTTGGCTTTTTATTATCCTGTTTTGACATCCCATAGACGGATAGACTTATCATCACTACCAGAAGCTAATGTATTTCCATCAGGAGAGAAACAGACTGAGTAGACATAACTACTATGACCATCTAATTTGGCTTTTTATTATCCTGTTTTGACATCCCATAGACGGATAGACTTATCATCACTACCAGAAGCTAATGTATTTCCATCAGGAGAGAAACAGATTGAGTAGACAGTATTAGTATGACCATCCAATTAGGCTTTAAATTATCCTGTTTTTACATCCCAAAGACGGATAGAATTTTCATCACTACCCGATGCCAATGTATCTCCATCAGGAGAGAAACAGACAGACCAAACTTAACTACTATGACCATCTAATTTGGCTTTTTATTATCCTGTTTTGACATCCCATAGACGGATAGACTTATCATCACTACCAGAAGCTAATGTATTTCCATCAGGAGAGAAACAGACTGAGTTAATACAATTACTATGACCATCTAATTTGGCTTTTTATTATCCTGTTTTGAAATCCCATAGACTGATAGACTAATCACTACTACCAGAAGCTAATGTATTTCCATCAGGAGAGAAACAGACTGAGTAAATACAACCACTATGACCATCTAATTTGGCTTTTTATTATCCTGTTTTGACATCCCATAGATGGATAAACTTATCATAACTACCAGAAGCTAATGTGTTTCCATCAGGAGAGAAACAGACTGACATAACATAGTTACTATGACCATCTAATTTGGCTTTTTATTAACCTGTTTTGACAACCCATAGACGAATAGTCTTATCATAACTACCGGAAGCTAATGTATTTCCATCAGGACAGAAACAGACTGAGTAGACAGTACCACTATGACCATCTAATTTGGCTTTTTATTATCCTGTTTTGACATCCCATAGACGGATAGACTCATCAGCACTACCAGAAGCTAATGTATTTCCATCACGAGAAAAACAGACTGATTAGACAGTACCACTATGACCATCTAATTAGGCTTTTTATATTCCTGTGTTGACATCCCATAAATAGATAGAGTTATCATAACTTCCTGAAGCTAATGTATTTCCATCAGGAGAGAAACAAACTGACTAGACAGTTCGACTATGACCATCTAATTTGGCTATTTATTATCCTGTTTTGACATCCCATAGACGGATAGATTAATCACTACTACTAGAAGCTAATATATTTCCATCAGGAGCGAAGCAGACTGAGTTGACAGTATTACTATGACCATCTAATTTGGCTTTTTATTTTCTTGTTTTGACATACCATAACCGGATAGACTTATCACCAATACCAGAAGCTAATGTATTTCCATCAGGAGAAAAACAGACTGAGTAGACAGCATATGAATGACAATCTAATTTGGCTTTTTATTATCCTGTTTTCACATCCCATAGACGGATAAATTTATCATTACTACCAGAAGCTAAAGTATTTCCATCAGGAGAGTAACAGACTGACATAATTTCTTTAGTATGACCATTTAATTTTGCTTTTTATTATCCTATTTTGACATCCCAAAGACGGATGGACCTATCTTTACCACTAGAAGCTAAAGTATTTCCATCTGGAGAGAAACAAACTGATTACACAGATTTAGTATGACCATTTAATTTCTACAATTCATTGATATTTAAGCCTTTCCATTTACAATTAAATAATTATGCTCCATTCAGATTAATTCCACTGATGTTGACATTATTAAATTAAGATCCACTTAAATTACACCTTACAAAATTAGCTCCTACTAAAGAAGTATTTTAGATTTTAATATTTTCAAAATTTTTCATGCCAAGGTCTACCTTCATATAAACTAATAAATGTAAAGAATTAGACCCACATTATATCAAAGTTTCATCAATGGATGTGAGGTGAACTAAAAATTACAGAAATTCAAAGATCCTCCCATAGACGGATAGACTTATCATAACTACTAGAAGCTAATGTATTTCCATCAGGAGAGAAACAGACTGACATAACATAGTTACTATGACCATCTAATTTGGCTTTTTATTATCCTCTTTAGACATCCCATAGACGAATAGAGTTATCATTACTACCAGAAGCTAATGTATTTCCATCAGGAGAGAAACAGACTGACATTAGCCAATGATCATAACCATCTAATTTGGCTTGTTATTATCCTGTTTTGATATCCCATAGACGGATAGACTTATCATAACTACCAGAAGCTAATACATTTCCATTAGGAAAGAAACAGACAGATAAGAGACCATCACTATGACCATCTAATTTGGCTTTTTATTATCCTCTTTAGACATCCCATAGACGAATAGAGTTATCATTACTACCAGATGCTAATGTGTTTCCATCAGGAGAGAAACAGACTGACATAACAAAGTTACTATGACCATCTAATTTGGCTTTTTATTATCCTGTTTTGAAATCCCATAGACGGATAGACTAATCACTACTACCAGAAGCTAATGTATTTCCATCAGGAGAGAAACAGACTGATTAAATACAACCACTATGACCATCTAATTTTGCTTTTAATTATCCTGTTTTGACATCCCAAAGACATATAGAGTTATCATAACTACCAGAAGCTAATGTATTTCCATCAG